TTTTTTGGAATGAACATAAGGAATCTTGTGAGTGTTGGAAAATATCCATAAACAAAGGTTTATGTCGGAAGGGATCTTATAGGTCACCTAGTCCAATCCCTTGCTTAGCGCAGGATCCACCAGAACATCTCTGACAGATGACCCTTCAACCTCTGTTTGAAGGCCTCCATAAACTGTCTGACTGCTTGTACATCAGGAAGCTCCTCCTGATAGTTAGCCTGAACCTCCTTGTAGTTTTAACCTGTTGGTTTTGTCCTGTCCTCTGAAGCAGTAGAGAATAAATCCGCTTCCTCTTCTGTGTGATAATCCTTCAGATATTTGAAAACCGATATTGTATCTCCCCTTAGTCATCTCTTCAATAGGTTAAACGTTTCCAGATCCTTTAGCTCTTTCTGTAGGGTTTTATTTTCAGCCCCTTCACCATCTTGATAACCAAGTTGTTCCAATTTGTCACTGTTCTTTTTGAGCAATGAAACTTAGAACTGGGCACAATATTCGAAATGGGGTCTAACCAGGGAAATTTTTTTCCATGATCTAGACACCACATCAACATGTGATTAGACTGTGAAGCTCAAAATGTTTGTGAACTCTGACACTGTGGTGCTGTAAATCACCATTTATGATGCAATTGGTGTGAATCCAACCAGTTGTGACTTACGGAATCAACTGTAGCCCAGTTACGTTGGAGGTTTAGGAGAGGCAGGAGAGTGACTCATATCACCAAGTCCAATTAGTTTTATTTTAAACATTTTTATTCTGCTTTTCAGTCAATCTTGGGAGCAATTTATATATGTTCTCAGACTGCAGACCCAAGACAGAAGGAGAAAGAGGGTGGGATTAGTTTGCCGTTCTCAAGGTCTTCTGAAAAGGAGGTGCTGGCTGGGTGGGAATTTTGCTAAGCTGGCTGGTGGTAGAGTTGGGATAAAAGGTTATGATGGTGTGCCAATTCTGTTGTAATCTAACTCTGTGTCTTGCTTTTTTGAAATTGTAGATTATGAAAAAATCTTCTCTCTCCTAGAAGAAATACAAGGCCCTGTAGAAATTCAAAAATATTTCATTGAATTTGCTATCAAAGAAGCAACAAGGTTTGTATCAAGACAATATGCTGCAAGTTCAAACAGAAATGCTTAGTTTGTTGCCTGGGCTTTTTACATATTTTGCGAATGTTTAAAATGTGCTCCCTTCTGAGGGTTCCAAGCGGCAGCTGGGCCTCTGCTATTTTCTGAGAGATAAAGCTCTTGGCCATTGTCTGTTTACATTGTATATAGAAATCTAAGCTCAGTGTGCATTTTCAGGTGGAGAAGTGGAAGATGAGTGCAATACCCCTATTAAACTGCCTCCCCCTCTTTTTCTTAGGTTTAAAAAACGGGTCTTAATTCAGCACTTAGAAAGAATACTAGAGGAAATAGAGTTCAGCAGCGTTCCCAACAGAATTAATCATGTCAACAGTAGATAATAGCGTGCCGGCAAGAGGAACGGACGGGTCAGGGCGATGGAGTTTGCTGTGTCGCAGAGGAATGGAAGAGGACGTGGCAGTGGCCGCCTCTGCCGGCCTGGCAGCCAGGTGGCTTCTCTGTTGGAGTCTCAGAAGAAGGGTGACGTTTTTACGCTTGCGAACCTCTTTCGCCGGACACCTGAGGAATTTGCCGCAGGAGGTGTGGCTTCCTCCCTCCCCACCCACCTTTGGAGGGCTGATCTGCCCCTGGGCTGAAGAAAGACACTCAGTGCTGCCCCTGGTCCTGCAGGTGATGAGAATTTACTCATTTGAACCATTGCTGTAAGACACTTTAAAGGGCTGCTTTAGGCAGCAGGGCGAATGGCATCCCCTTTATCTCTGCACTTGTGTTGGAGCGATCCTTTGTCCTAAAACAAAACGAAAAGGAAAGGAAAGAGGAGAGAAGGAGAAAATTCCCTCCGTGGTGGTAGTGCGTGTTGTCGCTACAGGCACGAAGGTGAAGCTTCCCGCGAGAGCGGCTAGCCAACCCAGGCACGAGGTTGCAGGGTAAATTGAATTGAGAGTAAAGGAGCTGCTAACCTGGGTTGAGGAGAAGCTCTCGAGAGCCCTGGGACGGACGGACTGGCTGGCTGGCTGGCTGCTGCTGCTGCTGCCGCTGCTCCTGTGGTGGCCACTAAACAACCTACCTCAGTCTCCTCTTCTTCTTCTTTTGTCTGCAGACGTTCTGAAAGCGCGTCCGAGGCTCCCCAGGTCCAGGCTTCAGTTCTCTTTCATCTTGTGAGGAGGACGGAGACTCTTCACGTGGACTTGGCTTTGGAAGCGCTTAAAGGAAACTTGGGGTTTAGAAACAAAACAAAAGCCGGGAAAAGAACTCCCCCCCTCCCCTCTCTCCACATGTATTTTACTTTTTAAATGTTCATACGAGAAGAAATTATTTTGGACAGTGTTGTTTAACAGATCCTTAATTTGAGATATCAAATGGTGTGTGTGTGTACATAGACATCTATACATATATATATGAGAGAATTTTTTGAGCACTTGTAAATAATAAAAATCATTTTATGATTTTTCTAAGAAGTGCCTAATCTGAATGGAGAATTCTGCGCAATGTCTTAGCATTCCAGTGGTCTATAAGCTCCCCTGAAATAATCCTTGAACAGGAGGAAATCGCGCGTCTCTGCACCTCTCTTCCCTCCAGCTTCTCTCTCACTGAAAGGCACAGAACCGAACCACCTCAAGGGCTCTTCCCTGGTTGTTAGCAGTTGCTTGGCAGGGGTTTCTTTCTCTTCCTTTTCCTGCTCTTGGTAGAGCCGCTTTGGTCAGTGTCACCCAGGAGCTGTGGTGCTCTGTCCACCTGTCTTGGAGAAGGGCCAAGTGGGTGACTTCATGCTGGGTGATGAATGGGGTTGCTCTTTTAGACTTCAGCCTATGGCAGCCAGCTTCAGCATTTGTTTGCTGAGCAGTTTATCTGCTGCTTTTGGGGAAGGTTTGTTGTGCCTCTGCTGGACAATAAGTGAACTTGGTGTGCTCCAGATGTTTTAGCTTTAGCCAGTGGCAAAGGACTGGGAATTGTCATTCCAAATACTTGGTTGGAGGTGACCCACTACCGACCCCTCTCTACACAGAAGGAAGTAATTAGACTGATTTTGAAAGAGGCAGGCTCTGGTGTAAGCTTCACGAGTGGAAGCATTCCAAGCCAGGGGATGCTGTTGCCTGCGTCCATCTTGAGCACACATGGGAGAGGCTGGCTGGTTAAGTTTTGAAAGGGAGCCTTTCCCATGAGGCTGCAATTTCAGAAGAGCAATAAAGACCTTGAGAAAGGGATAGAGCTATCAAGCTTGGAGTGCACCTGAAGAATCAAGTTAGGCATCGACTGTATTCATACACAGCTCAGCACATTGAATGAACCTGTCAGTGGGTTTCAGTGTCTTTTGAGGGCCAAGTGGCTTTTTGGAGGAATTTGGAAGAGGACTTCTTGGTTTCTTAAATGGGATACGCATCCTTTAGGGCTTAAACTATAGTTGATCATCTATCCCCCACCTTGGTATGGAAAGAAATTCTGTTTTCAGCAATTATGACGAGAGGGAGGACCCTCATGGCCACAAAGAGGGTTTGAGGCCAAAGGTTGCCCATACCTGAAATCTTGGGTTAATGTATGATGCAGATAAGGCTGTCGGAATAGCAGCACTCTGCCGCAAAATCCTTCACCCCAAAACCCAGTCTTTCAGGTAGAAACGTTAAATACAGCCCTGAAATTTGTGCCAATGCACTCCCGCTCCCTGGTATGCTTTCAGGTGGTCTATATTTGCAAGCTGAGCTGGGTAGGTGAATGAAAAACTCAGTGAAGTGAACCAGTTTGACATCAGTGTTCTGGGGGCAGTCATGCAGCACCTTTGAGTTGAAGCTTTCAATGCCTCAGCTCCCTCAACTTTTCCCCTTTGTGGTCGAACCTGAAGGGCAGAGCAAAAATGCTGTTGGGAACTAAGGGTGAAGTCTGATTTTCATGTAGGTCACCTTTCTACCAGTACTTAGTGCACAGGCTGAAGAAATTTCTGCATTTGCTCCACCCTGTGATTTCAGTCATGAGGATAACTAGAAAAGTCATGTGCTGGTGAGATCTAGATGTTTAAATGTTGTCCTCACTTCCAGTAGTCATCACAGGATAATAGGAATTAACTGGGCGTGGACATTGCTCAGAACTGAAACATTGTGCTGCATCGGCTAGGTTTTACTGCAAAATTACCTTACAGCTGCAGGCAGAAAATTACTTTGCATGCAAAAACCATTGATTATATTGGCAGGCTGGTTCCAGCCTTAAATCAGGCAAAATTTTCCCTGCAGGCATACTGGAAGAAAGTAGCACAACGGCCCTGAGAATACTAAAAATAAAACCCACCTCTAATGATTTGTGCAGCTTCTCGTTTTCCTGCACCAAAGGAGCATCTCCAGGGAGAGAAATGGAAAGCTGGCTTGCGATTACAAGAGGCAGAGTCAAGACATATAATTAAGGGGTCCAACAGCTCAAAGTTACATTTTCATCCAGCATAGCCAAAAATACATTGATCAAGCAAGACTGTTTCTAATTTGTACTTTCATTTTCAGAAATACTGGAAACTTTTGGAAGTGGGCATTATGTTTCCCCCTGAATTAGGCCCATTGACCCCCCAAAGCTCACCCATGCACCCCCAATTGTCAGACTGTAATTAAGGGCTTATCTTCAAATGCCAGGGGAACACAATAGATCTGCAGAGGAAGGTGGCAAAGTCTACGTTGGGAAATAACCATACAGTGCATTTTGTGTTAACTGATGGTGTAATTGTTATTTTCCCTTGCCAAATATTTTTCTCAAACTTTAAGGAGTATAATGAACCAGTAGGCTAGGAGCCCCAAAACTGAGGAGGAGCTCTCTATTCAATCTTAGATCTAAGTGGTTTAGTACATCACCTCTCCCTTCAGAGAAATCCATAATCCTTCAGATATAAGAACCTGTTTCACAGGTTTACACCACTGTAAAAGATCTGATGCTGCAAAAATAATTCTTACTCTGTTTTGGAATAATATTAGTTCTTTATTGGACATGGCAAGAGCAAAAAGGGGAAGAAACAAAATTTGCACACTTGTAAAGTAACCATCAATGCTGAAGGGGAACCTGTTTATTTCTTGCAAGTTTAATAGACCCAGAAGGTGCTTGAGCAGACTGCAAAATTCATAACAAATGCATGAAAAGACCCAGACTTTGGAGAAAGACTGCCTTTGTAGCAAAATTTGCAAGTTCTTGGCAAACCCTGATTAGTCTCAGGATAAAGAATTAATAAACAAGGACCTCAGCTTGAAACGGCATATACTAAAACAGCAAACACTGAGTAGGCAAATCACTGGCATTTTATGGAACCGTTTTTGATGCCACTGTCCCCATTAACTTCTTAAAACGGGGCTGGAGAGTGTCACTTAGATACCAGACTGAATTAAAAACAGCTAGAAGAAACAGGATCTCCCTGAAAGGACTGGGAGACGGAATAGCCAAATGGGCAGCACGCATTAGGAGGAAGATGACCAACAGAGCTATGCAACTGCCTTACAGATGTCTGATAGGCTTCACCTAGACCAAATACAAGGCTGAAAAAAGTTTCATTCAAAAGAAGGACCACAATTTGAACCAATTAGTATCAGGGCCAGGTTTAGAAAGGCCAAGATTTATCACAGTCAAAAGTCTAGCATCCTGATCCTTTGGTTAGAGCAATGTTCCTCAACCTCGGCAACTTCGAAATGTGTGAAATTCTGGGAGCTGCCAAGGTTGAGAAGCACTGGGTTCAAGCAATTTTCCACATGGTTTTCCTGCCCTGGAGTGGCTGCCATCTAGGGAAAAGATCCTACCTATCTCATGACCTGTAAAATTTTATTTTAATCATGAACACACCCCACTTCTCACCTATTTGTAGCACAAGACTTTGTCCCTGGAAGTGCATTCAACTTCTCTACAACTTTAGTTACTAATTTGAAATTGGTTACATTCTGCAAAAATCAAACTTGAAGCAAACACTTATTGAATTGAAGGGAATCTATACCACCCCAAATATTCCAAGGTAGGTAATTCTGGAAGAAATCTGGTGATCAAATACAATTATGTTAAAAAATGCAGTAGAATGGAAAAACAAGTTGAACGTGTTCAGCTGCTCAAACGGGAACATTACAGTTCATGGTATCTCAACCTACTTTTACCTTTCTAAAAAAGGAAAGCACGTATAATGAGTGGGAGCTAAATCAAAAGGCATTACCAAAAGCTGAAATTGAGAAAAATCATTACAAGACACAGTCCAAGTCCTTCCCTTGTGCAAACTTGCATGCTGCCAAACCATTTTTTCCCTCCTTTAACCAGATCTGCTAGGTCAGTCTTCCTCATCTGCCTGACACCTTGTATGTTTTAGACTAGAGTTTCCATCCACTCCAACTATACTGGCTTGATTTAAGGTAAAGCCCTTTTACAGAAGGAATCCTAGAGTTTCAATCCAGCTCCTCTCTTGGCTACAATCTCTATTGATGACGTGCTATGAGCAGAGCTTGATGCCAGAAGTGAATGGATTATGGATGACATGATTCACCTCCATGTCCTGGTTAGACATTTAGAGATTTGGCCATTGTGACTTCTCAAAAAGCATACAGCTTTCAGCATTTCAGGGAGCTCCAGGTCAATGACTAACTGATGATCAAGTCTGTATCCCTTTGCCAAATGGTTAAATTCCTACTTGAAAAGGATTAGTCTTGACTGGCTCTGCTGGGCAGATATTCCACACACAGCACCAATAAATGAGATACAGAAATTACCATGTTCTGTCAAGGACTCCGCTGGAAGAGGGAGAGTTAGGGGATGGGAGAAGCAGATAAGCCACCTGCAACTATTTTGTCGTTGAACAAAATAATACAAAATACCCTTTTCTGTGCTTATCTAGTACATTAAAACCATCATCTGCATTTGGTAATACAGATTTTGATAATTCAGAAGTGAGTTAACTGCAGCAGTGCTTTAATGAAAGGTAAAATGCATATTTCACAGCATAATTTTAGCAGTAACTTTCATTGTTTGCCAATTCACAATTTAGTTGTCATTACCAGTGTTCAAAGGTCCTTTTAATTTTTTTTATATATTTATGTATGTGTGTGCATGTGTGTGTAGACAGACACACATGCGCGCACACACGTATTATAAAGCCTGGAAGATCAATATAAATCCTGCTCCAGAAATTTAAAAAAAAGTGTTTATATCCAACTCCAATATTACAGCTCAGTGTCCTGTTCTATTTTTAGAATCGTCTGTAAAAAAAAACTCTTTAACGGTGCAGAGGTTCAAGTTTTCGCAACTTCAGTGATGTGCTGGATGACAATGCATCCTGGTTGGAGGAAGAATGGACAGTGTCTGGGGACTGGAATAACACTCTGCCCCGGTGATTAAATACATAAAAGGATGGATGGTTCCTTAATGTGTCAAATGTCCTAAAACAAAAGGGAAAAAGGAGAGAATGGAATTAACATTGAGTCAGAACAGTTACTGTAATTGGCAATCAGACAATCATTTCAGAGAGAATGGATTTTAGACACTGACATAACCAATTCTACAAATATCATGGACACCTTAAGGTGCTTTCACCTTACCCCTCTGTTACCCTTGCCAAGGTCTGAGCCTTACTGTACCATCCAGATTTGGAATGGTTCTTGTTTCAAGATTTGTACAAGGTCAGCTTTGTGGCTAAGGCTTGCCGTTGGTCACCATGCAGTACGTTATTTCCCCAAACTTGTGCTAATGGTCATTCCATTCCCAGCTGAGGCCATCAGCCTCAAACTTTCCTTAAAAAAGTGTGTACTTGGCAAATGAGCCTTTTTGCTTCATCCATTCTGAGAACATAGCCTGTAAATGAAGCTAAACCAAAGAGAACAGGCTTAATGGAAAAGGGGGGGGGGGGAAATGACAGCAGAAGTATCACCCAAAATGTCCCAAATTCTATTATTCAGAATAACAAGAATAATAAGTAGCAGCAGTCCTAAATTCAAGGAAGGCTTTCTGGCTTAAAGTTTCATACAATCCAGCCTTTCTTAGGGGAAAAAAGTTTTTCAATTTGCACTGGGCTTTGCTTGTAGGGTACCGCCCCCCCGCCCACTTTCCCAACAAACTAAGGGTCTTTGTTTTGAGCCAGCTCAGCTATTCTTAATACTCTTCTCCCCACAGGTTTAACGTGCTTCTCACATGGGCCAACTGGTATTCAATGGTTTATTTTCTCAGATCACAGAGATCCAATACAGCTACCATAACCAATTCCCCTGGCAGAACTATTCTGAGGGAGGACAAGAAGCACAAGGAGGAGGCCCGTTGTGATCCTGCTCTCTCAGATGAAGAAATTGGGCACTGGAGCCTTACATCTCCCATGGCACCATTTGATGGCACATGGCCAACAACACTGTTTTCCCTTTTGAGTAAAGAGTGAGAGGTCCCCTCCTACTTAGCCTGAAGTGGCATGAAAACAACCAGGAGATCATGCAATCAGAGAAGTAGTAATTGTGGAAGAAAGATAAAGGATTAAGGAACATACTTATTTTTTAGCTCTGAAGTAGCATCCATGTCTTTAAATTCTCCTGCAATATGTACTATCCCATAACAGGTGACTGCAAAGGCCAGCAGGGTTTGAAGAACAATCTATAAACAGATTAAAAACAGTAGCTGAGTGTGTTCAGAAAACCACTCCACCATAATTTGTTTGTTAGGCTTCTGTATTCAAGGTAGTTGTCCTTTTCAAGTTCAAAACTGCCAGGGCTACAAAAATGTGTAATGCAGTAGACCAAGACCTGATTTGAGACATGGAATGCCTTGTTTATTATGCTCACTGGGCAAATATGAGAAAAGGTAATTGAACAATGTTTACTATAATTAGAATATTACGTAGGTTTCTATAGCACGGGCACCAGGAATGTTTGCAATCTGAACAGTTCAAAATCAGTAAAAAAAAATCAAAATGCCAAGAAAAAAGTTAGAAAGACTGCATTGGTGGAAGGATCAGTAGGTGGAGGATACATTAGCCAAATGCCAGAGGGACCAGGCTGTTTACTCTGCAGAACACTGGGAGCTAAACCAGAACAGAAGTATCAACTGGAGGTAACAGGGAATTCCTAAAGGGATGCTTTCAAGGGAGGGGAAAGTGCCAAATTTGGGCTATTTCATTTCTACCACAGAGACTGCATGCTACAACTGGCCAGATATCTGAGCTTGTCAAGTGTGCAAAGGAAATTAAGACACAGCAATTCAAGTCTAGCTTGGCCTTGACCTCTGTTTGCTTCCTCCTTTATAATCACTGAAATCAAACTACTCAGGGCCCAATCTGTCATTTTATGGCTTACAGTGTGACACGTTATTCGAACCACAAAAGACGAAAGCATGGACCACTTACGTCTATAGGCAACGTTTCATCTTCTTTTTCTGTTAATCTCATATAGGAACGATCTGTTAAAATAAAGATGCACTCCTCAGTTTCCATCTTTACATCACCCGCAACTAGGCCAAAATGGGGAGGGGGCAGGATGGGGAGTGCAGAGGGAGAAGCACCATTTCCCACATATAGGAATGCGGGGGGGGGGGCCGTGAAAGCCACTGTCATTTTTGTTTATTCAGGTTTTCTCTGAAAATTCATTACATGATCTCATACCCCAGCTTCTTCTACTG